GCGGGGCTGTGCGGAGCTTTGCGGGGCTCTGTGGGGCTGTGCGAGGCTGTGCGGGGCTGTAAGAGGCTGTCCAGAGTTGTGCGGGGCTGAGCGGGGCTGTGCGGGGCTCAGGGTGTGTTCCCTTCCCGGCGGGGTCCGTCCCTGATTTCCCACCTCCGAACACCGTGCCTCGTGGGGCTCGAGGGGCTCTTCACCCTCATTCCTGTTCTTCAGCTGTTCCCCCCGCCCCCAATTAATTTTTTCCTGCTTTCCCAACATCTCTGCATCAGCTGTAAATAGCGAGCCCTGGGTGAAGTCTAGAAATCCACATCCATTCCTGCAGGTGGGCAGGGAGCTGATCCCTGGTTCTGGATCAGTTCCTGCTGCGCTCTCCTGAGCCACGCTCCCGGAGGAGGCGGTGGGGCTCCAGCCTGAACAAAGATGGGAGGATTTGGCTTTGAACTATTTCTGTCACGCAGACAACAATGATTGTTGTCTGCTGGCAGACCCATTCCCACGTAGCGTTTAGCATCCGCCTTACACGCACTTCCAATGTAGTAAACAGTGGAGCTTAGGAGGGAACAYAGACACACTCCCCAGCGTTCCTTTTGGGACACCTTATACCTAGAACAAGCCAATTCACCATGTGAGTCTCCTCTCCAAAGTTTGAACAYAGACTTTGGTCGGCCTCATTATTTTCCTGCTCTTGGAGGCTTGCACAGTCTCCTCACTAGGTCCCACGGAAAGAGGGGAAGAGGAGGAAGGTCAGAGGGGGATGTTAAACACCTCTAACACCAGTGACATCATCTCCTCGCTGCCTGCTCCGTCCTTCCTGATCAAAGGGGCTTGCAAAGGGAGTACTACACTCAGAGGATGGGAGGGTTTTGCTCCGAGCCAGGGTAAGGCTGAGGCAGAGCCCTGCATTGTGTGTTTTAGCCTTGGATGTGTGTGTGGTTCTCCTCACGCGTTAAAAAGCCACGTAACTCCAGCACAGCTCTTCCCATACTCCCAGACTCCAGCTCTTGATCGGGGAAGGCATGATGGGTATGGAATTGCCACCGCTCCCCCAGCCATTTCCCTGCTTTCCCTGCCTGCTCCTCGCCTGCCTTTCCAGTGGCGAAATCATTCCCGAGTCCTGGGAACGTGCAAAGAGCCGTAAAACAAACACAGACACAGCCAATGTAGCAGGCTTTTCTGCTGAGTTGCAAAGGGCTTTGGAGTCAGACAAACCCCAAATCAATGCCTGCAGCCAACTACAAGGGAGAAAACTACACCGGAGGAACGAACCACCTACTGCGAGCCCTGCACAGAAGACAGCACGCGTGTGCTCGTGTGAACGTCTGAAGGTTTGATTTACATAATAAGAATATCAATGCAGCTATTTCCGCACGTTCCAGCGTGTGCGGATCCCGGCTGCGCGGCGGAGCGGGCGGGAGCTGCGGGGCCGCAGAGCCGGCGGAGGTGTTGGCATCCACGGGAGAGCGAGCCCCAGGCGCTGTGTGTGAGCACGGGCTGGGCTGCGAGTTCCACAGCGTGTGCTGGGTGTGCTCGGTGTGTACATGCTCCAGGGAGAGCGCGGTGCCTTGTCTGTGCTGTGTGGGAGGGAGAGAGTCCGGGGCTGTCTGGCTGCTACTCACAAGCGGAGCTGATCGATATTTTTTTTCCTTTATAAGGATTTTTTTTTTTTTCAAAAAAAACCCCTTTCACGTTTCTTACACCAAAGCCAGTCTCCTCTTTACTGGCTCCCTCCTCCTCTCGCTATCCCCCAAATACTTGTCTACAACTCCTGGGAAAGCAGCTTCCCTGCCATTTACAAATTATTACGATGCAGCCAGATGAGCAGCCAGAGTAAAGCATGAAGGACCTTTCTGTCCTGCCTAGTGCAGATGTCAATCACACGGCTACATTCAAACACCAATTCTGCCAGCGTTTCATCTGCTGCCGGCTTCCCTCCGCCAAGAGGAGACCGCATCCGAGAGGTGACACCTCCTCCCCTTCCCCACTCCACCAGCTCGGGGGGACTCTCCAAACCCCAAACACACGCACCTATAACCCCCCTCCTCTCTTCGGATCGTCCCCGAGGCTTTCGACCCAGGCTGTGCTGGACCTCKGGGGTGATGCAATGGCGTGGAGATGTCCCCCGTCCCCCCATTCCCCAAGGGCTGGAAAAACGCAAAGTTATGCTCAACGCCAGCCTCGCAAACAGCGCTGAATGCTGAGCGGGGAAAAGCCATCTCCAGCACGGTGGGGTGCAGCTCCCCGCCATCGCTGCCCTCCCCCGSCTCTGCCGCTGTCTCCCATCCCCGCTGGAAGTAGAGGCAATCAGCCCAGTGTGGGATTYGAGGCGACAGACTTTCCTTTTCCTCCGCGATTTGCTTGTCACTTGCGAAAGCGGAGCAGTGGATTAAGTGGAGATGACACCATCTCCTTGGGGACGGTCCCCCCCCGCTCCGGGATGTACCGATACTCCGGAATACAGATGGATCCCGGCTGTCTCCCACCCCCAGCGTCACCCCCGCCTCGCCGCCAGCCCAGCCGAGCCGAGCCGGGGCTGAGCCCCAATTGCCGTGCATCCTGCGGGGGGCTGCCTCTCGCCCCAGCACAAACCAGCGCTCCCAGTCCTCCTAGCTCCCCAATCTCGGCCCCTCGCTCGGCACCACGCACGCAGAGCCGCTCCCGGCGCTGCGGGACTTTGCCATCCATCCCCCCCGGCTGCCCAGGGTGGGGGTGCGGGCAGGGGGGGCGGAGGGGCCGCGGCCGCGTTACACAACGCGCGGCAGGACGGGGAGCCGGCCCCGGGCAGGGGCAGCGCCGCAGCCGCAGCGCAGCGCTCGCCTTACCTGATGCTAATGTCCCTCTCTGGCGGAGATCGGATCGCCCGTGGGTTTTATTCGGCTCGGTAGGAACTTGTGGGAGAGCTTCTCTGTCCAGCTCGCATACTGGGTGCGGGGCTGATAGTGCAGGCGTGAAAATCCTGGGGCTCTAGCAGTCCTTTTCATGCTCAGACAGAAAATCCCCTTCCTTGATCCAGATCGCGGGCATTAAGGGCAGAGGCAAAAAAAAAAAAAAATTTCCTTTTCTCCCCTTCTTCCTTTTCCTTTTTCTTGCTTTTTTTCCCCCTTCCTGTGCCCCCCCTCTCTTCTGCTGCTCAGTTCGTAGCCATCGGGGGAAGGAGCAGAGGCAGCAGGGAGAATGGAGAGGGGGTTAGAAATAAAAATGAAAAGGGCTCCAGGAGGGAAGCGAGAGGCTGGGCTTGCCACGGGGGGAGGAGCTTGGAGAGGGCTGGAGAGGATGAATGGGGAAGAGGAAAGCAGGGCGGAGCCCCAGCTTGGCCATTTTATTCTAAGAAGTRTTTTGTACATAATTAGAGAAGGGGAGGGGCCGGGGGCAAAAAGGAGGGACTTAAGCTCCGGCCAGACGGAGCCTGGGCCGTGGGAAGGGAGGGTGAGACCGGCAAGGGCCGCCGGACGGGGCTGCGGGGGATCGAAACTTGTCTGCCGAGGGGACTGGGGAGAGGCTGCAGCGGGGTCCGTTTCCATTCCTCGCAGACCCCATCCATTTTTTTTTTTTTTTCTACTCCCACACGCCTTCAGTTTTCTCCTCCGGGACCCGACCAGCGCTCGTTGGGCCGAGCCGGGAGCTGCTGGAAGGGAAGAGAAGGGAAGGAAAGGGAAGGATGCTCCCGGCCTGGCGCCGCTCTGGGGGGATCCCGGCTCTCCTCGGGAGCTGCAAGGGAGGAGCCGCCCGCTCCCATCCCCGCCTCTGGCGCGGATCAGCACCGCGGACAGCGCCGGGATGAGCCGGGAGAGACGAGCTGAGCCGGGCCGGGATGAGTAGAACCCAACCGGGCTGAGCTGGGCTGAGCTGAGCCGGGCCGGGCAGAGCCAGGTTAAGCAGAACAGAGCCGAGTGAGCCGGGCTGAGCTGAGCAGAACCGAGCCTGGCTGAGCAGAACCGAGCCTGGCTGAGCTGAGCCGGGCTGAGCAAAACCGAGCCTGGCTGAACTGAGCTAAACTGAGCCGATCCGAGCTGAGCCGGGCTGAGCTGAGTCGGGCTGAGCTGAGCCCAGCAGAACCGAGCCGAGCTAACCCTGATTGAGCGGCACGACTGAGTTCCCGGCCCGGCTGTTCCCCGGGGTGAAAGTCCCGCCGCTGGGCTTGGGGAAGGCTTGGGATRAGGAACGGAGATAGATGGGGCTGCCTCAAGAGCATGAGCCATCGGGATAAATCCCAGCAGCTCAGCCAAGGCAGCCTGGTGTACGAGCAGCGTTTAACGACGCTGTGATGTGAGGTGTTCAGGCAGGGACTGCTGTGAAAAGCTGCTGGGCTGGGCTGGGCTGGGCTGGGCTGGGCTGG